TGTGTGTGGGCCATTTGCAACTCTTTTGCGTACTGCCTCAACATCATTTGTGTGTATCCCGGAATGGGATCCCAGGGTTCTGTGTGGGAGAGCAATCAAAGCACACATCAAATCAAAGTAATGCCATCATTTGTTTTCAATGAAGTTTAACGATTTCAGCTCCTGCGCCAGCTCCACGGCGAATTGCAGGCAGACATGCAGGATATGTATGTGGAGTGGGGAAGGGGGATCCTCCAGCCTCAATCTGGGACTGCCATTGATTACATAACAATGGATAAACATTCTATGCCCATGCCAGGACACGATATACGTACAATGGGAGGGCTCGACAACGGAAACCCCATCTGGTGCGGATGCTAAAGCATTTCGCATCAAAATAGTAATGAAAGTCATTCATATGTTTGGTTTTTCTATTTTCCCTCTTCGCTTTTTTGTCTTCTTTTGTTTTCGTATTTTTTTGGTTTCTGTGCGTGTGTGTGTGTTTCCCCATAGAATTTCCGGCAGGTCGCGTGGTAGGCATAAAATTTATTGCATACTCTTAGGCGTTGCACAGCAGATAGTGTTCGGAATGGAATGAAATGGGATGGGATGGCTGTACAGGGTGGAGTATGGAGGACGCAGTAGCGTGGCTGCTGAGGCTCTGTCTGCTGTTGTTCTTCGGATAGCAATTAAAGTGAATGGGATTTTGTTGTTTTGCAAAAGAAGTCGATTTAAGTTTTAATAGCCCGCCCTGGTAGGATTGAGATGTGTTCTTAACAAAGTTGATGAATTGGGTGGGGGGAAATGTCCTGATTGGGAACAGAATGAATATGAAGGATTTTCGAACAAGGATTTTGTTCTGAATCGATGCAAGCTTGAAATGGGAAGAGGTTCCACCTATTTCCTTTTCCCTGTCAGATATTGATAATAATGAAAAGACCATTAAACAGGATATTACGTAGGCAATTATATTGCGAATGATTGAAGGAATATGCGTCTGAGACATTGCCCGTACACATTTCCCATCGACATTTGCAATTGCTGCCCTGTGGCCAAACTGACCACGAATGGAAAGCTTAACCCGACCACGGAGCCGAGCCGTCGGGCAATACTTGACTTATGGTTGTCCAGTTCGGTTGCAATTTGACAAGCGAACATTACTCAAAGTGAGGGAACAACTTGAAGCGTGGCCAGGGTCAGGACTTAGCTTTTCCCACCTGCCAGGCCACGCACAGACACCCTCCGCACTCGCCCCCGACAGTTTAGCTGTCATTAATAAAGAGCACTGGGCACAGTGCTCCCACCCTCACCAGCCATATGTGGAGGCCCCGCATAATTGATGTGTTTTTGTGAGTTATGTTGGATCCCGTCGACTCGGCACTCTGCTGACTTGCCGACTTTCCCGGGTCCCGATTCACACGGCCTTAGTCGGGCCAGTACCACCCCGTCCTGGTCTCTCTGAAGTGTGTGCGTGGCGCGTGCTATCGGACCGACCCAGCCCCAGCTCTGACGGCGAGCGGGTGCCCAAGGCATCTCCGATTCCGCCTCCGTCCGACCACGGACGTCGGACTTCGGACGCTTGTTTGTCAGCGCTGAGTGATGACTTCAAATTGGCCATCTCTGATGATGACGGCATCTACGTGTAGCCTTTGTATCCGATGCCCCCTTTACAAGGGCAGAACACATGTGTGGCTGTCTCGCATATAGCTGAATATGATGTGAGTTCCACTTTCGCTGTCTTTCCTTTGTCTTGATTGCTGCTGATATGTGGGCTATATATGTATGTGTGTATGTATGATTGTGTGGCGAATGTGGAATATTTTGTGGTTTCTACATTTGGAAAATACAATAAAAATGTGCGAGTAAAAAAATTCAGTCTCGAAAAGACTAAATGTTACTTGTGAATTTTCTGGCTTCAGTGACAAAAATATTTAAATAATGATATGAATTAATTAGCTACATAAATTTTAATATTTTATTTTCCGAATTTCCTTAGTTTGGAACTCTTGAGTGGAAATTGTTTAGTTATGCAAATATATTATTAATAACAAAGTCTTTAATCAAGTTTTCGAATCTGCCAACTGCTTGATTCTCGATATTCCTGCTGCCATTCTAATTGATTGCAGGGCATGCTCCTGTTCGTTGCCTCCTCTTTTAGTCATTTTATCTTTGCTGCTTTTCATGATAGTAAATGCCACAACATTACCAATTGCTCAGGTGTGTTTTGTCCCTGACCATTTGACACCATTCACACACATCTACGATATACATACCCTCTCCATACTGCGGCATTTAGCCAGGCTTGATAAATGATGGGCAATTTGTAGGCGCAGCTTTGTTAATAGAAACAAATTGCCGGCCTTTAGTGCGATGTGGTGGCAGTAGTGGGATGGTGTGGCAGAGGTGCGACGATTAGTGTTGCTTATTTATAAAAATTATATTCGTACATTTTCTGGCAAATTAATTAGAATTGATTAAAGGTGTGTGAGCCGTGCGCTTTGTGCGCTCTGAAATGGCGTTCTAGTCAAATGAAAAAGGCAAACGCAATTTCATTTAAATATAATTTCACTTTGCTTGAATACCCAGAGGATTTCTCTCTCCCCACACTAAAAAAACTAAAAAAAAAGAACAGGACAAGTACTAAAGGACCGCTGAATTTCACTCTTAAAACATTTACAAAAAAATATAGCCTTTTAAAGTTATTTCCTTAAATTAATACCATGACAATTGATATAGATTCTCAGTCTTAAAAAATGCATTTTTGAATGGAAAATTTCCGTCTTCTACTTATTATAAATATTCGCTAGTTCTAGCATTTCTCTGAGTGCACCTTGAGCGAGCGACCCTCTGTCACTCTGCTCTGGCTTTTCATTCTGTTGCTGCATTTAATTTCATTTAATTTCCAGCCACGCCCCACATCACATCATTTCTGGCTAGTCATTTCGGCAATCCCCCGCTGATCCCATTCCGCCTCCTGCAGCTCTCCTTCTACTCTCCTACCCCCCTCCGTCATCTTCTGCCGGCTGTTGCAGTGCACGCTTTTCACTTTTCATGAATAATAAAGTGAAAGTCTAGTTAGTTTGGCGTTTTTCAGCTCACTACTCCACGTCGGCTTTCCGACTTCTGCCACTGCTGCTGCTCATGGATTCAGCTCCGACTTGACTCCGTCCCATCAGTGTACCCTCGCCATCACCCCGCCTCCTCTCACACCTCGGCCACACTGCACCGTACAGATGTAATTTCGTTCCATACTTTTCCGAGCATAAAAACTCTGAAAAGGCGCCACCTCGCAATTGTTTGGCCTGGCTGCAGGGAGCTGGAGAGGCAGCCAACTTTTTCATTTCCATGTTTTTCGACTGCACTTTCTGCCATTGTTGTTGTTCGCCTTATTGTGTTCCGTATTTAATGAATAATTTTTAATAGTTTGATATTGCTGCAAGCTGCATCTTGAGGAAACACGGGGGACAGGAAACATTTCCGTCGTGCAGGTGGATTAATTTGCAGGCAAAACTTTCTGAGAGGATAATAAGAAAAAAACTTTTGACTAAATCATTGAATAAAGCTTATCTTTATTTGCTTTGCAGATGGTAAACAAATCAAAAATTCACTTTAATACCTCAATAAAATATTTTCTTTGCTAAATTTATTATACCCATAAGTTATTTTAAAACAGCTACGAAGACAATTAAATTACACTACTCGACAAAATCGAACTTTTTTTTTCTTCAAGGGTCCAAACCGACTTTGATAAATATGGGACTTTAAAATTGTTTAAAGACTTATGGTTTTTTTTATGGCAGAACTTTTTTTTTAAGAATTTTCGAAGTCTGGTTTTTTTTTGTGAAGCTTTTTTCAGCAAATAAAAATTAAAAAGGGTTGTACATTTGGTACCTGATCGCGATCCAAATTCCCAATTGGCAGTTGGGCCCGCAACCGTCCAAAAGGTATTTTATTTTTTTCTTTTTTTAATTGTTTAGGTTCGGTTAACGAATTTTATCTCCAAAGTTTCTCCATAGATTTTAATGAGCAATACCTTAAACGACGCTTAATTAATGCACTTATACACAAAATGTGTTTGGGCTTATCTTTTAGCTGTTTTAATTATCTTTTCAAAATAGCAAAGTTCTTTAAAACCGGACGTAAGATACTAGAGTTACGTGAAAAAAGAAGCGCTACCTCTGAAAAAACCTTACTAAAAAATAAGTTTTCAAAAATTCTTCAAAAAAAAGTTCTGCATAGAAAAAAAAATCATTAAACCATTTCTAAGCCCTTGAGGAAAACTCGTGTCGAGTAGTGTTATTAAACTTAATTAACACTAAAGTGGTAAATTAGCCAGGCAGTGTTTCAATATGAAGTAAACTTAAAATTTAGCACTTAAGCGTGAAAAATAATGCAAAAATGCGATTGTTCTCATTATATAGTTCATTTAAAAAAAATGTTCTAGTGGAAGGGACGAAGAGACAGTTCTTAGGGCACTATCTAAATAATCGACGAGAGCATAAGATTGGGAGAGAGTTAGAAGAGGAGAACAACAATCAAGTAAAATGTACATGTGTACATACATATGTACTTATACATATGTCTGGTGTAGTTTGAGATGGTAACATCGTAGATCTTTGGCATCTTTGGCTTCTTTGGCATCATTGGCTGCTTCTAGCACAGTTACTTGCAGTGCATCATGCCGGCAGCGCAGTATCCGGGAAACTCAACGCACTTCAGGAAATATGTAGCAAGACCCTGCAATGGAATAGAATTTTTAGCTAAAGCCTGGCAGCAGTCACTGCATTGAGCGAACATGTAGGTGAATATATAGAAGAAGGCGCCGATAAAGGCCACAATGAGCGACAGCCAGAGCAAGACAATTAGCCAGAAAGTACAGTGGATTCTTTATTCTCAATGATGTGGATGATTATTTCGAACTAAATATCTGATTTTCAGAGACGAATATGATTGGACAGATTTTACTAGAGTTACTAGACCAGGGTTAGCTTTTACTTATTTCAAATTTCCATTTTCCATGCGAGATTATAGTTGGTCATGGCATACGGCTCAAAAGCATTGCTTTTTCGAAACAGAAAAATACTCAGAACAAAACATACTCCGGAGTAAAGGAGTGCGTATTTCATTCAGGATGAGCAAGCGCATGTATGATGTGTGCGACCCAAGTGACAAGGTGCTGCATGCCATGAAATTAGCGCAGAACGGGCCGAAGAGGCGGGTGCGATGCCTGGAGGATCTGGACGACTGGGTTCGCTCGCAGGCCTACAATGACACGATCGCCTACATCAGCAACACCAGCATGGCCATACAGGGAATCAGATTGAACAGCGATTACCCTGTGTCGGAGCAGATGCGGAGGCTGTGCGAAATTTTCGAGGGCTTGGAGATACTCCTATCCGAAAATACACCGAATTTGGACAGCTCCGATACATGGCTGACGTCCCAGCAGGCCACTGCCAGGGCCTACCGCACCTGGATGCGCCAGATGCAGCAGTTCGTGTTCTCAATTCTGGACCAGGCAGTACAGCCGGAGTGCAAGCACATCAACGAACTGGGACAGTACTTGCGGCGCTCCTTTGGCTGCTCGAGCAGCCTTGAGTATGGCCCCGGCAACGAGCTCATGTTCCTGTTTTTCCTTTGCGGCCTGTTCAGGGCCGGCATCCTACTCGCTGGGGACACGGTAGCCGCGGCCTTGCTCCTCTTTCACCGCTACATCCGGCTGGTGCGCCACCTGATCCTGACCTACTCGCTATCGCTAACAAAGGACCCAAGTCGCTCGATGGACGACTACTACGTGATGCCCTATATTTGGGGAGCAGCCCAGCTTTCGCTGGACGCGCCGTTCTCACCGATGCAGAGCGAGCTGCCGCTGACAATGGAGACTCATCGGCAGGACTACATGTTGCTGGAGGTCATCGACCACCTGCAGAAGACGCGAGGGCTCCAGCTCAACCACATCGCCTTTCAGCTGTGGTGCATTCTGTCGGCACCAACTTGGCCGCAGGTCTATGGGGGAATCGAGCGCGCGTACGTGTCAAACGTGCTCTCCACATTCGAAACCGTTGAGAACGCGATATTCTGTGAACTTATGTCCTTCGATAGTGTGCCGTCACTTGCCATGGAGCAGCGTGCGTATCTGGGGAGGCGATACTCTGAAGATCGTAAGAGTTCGTTGCCCAACCAAGGAGAGAAGGCAGAAGAGAATTCCGAGCAAATGCCAGAGAGCGGCAAGAAAAAAGTGTTGCCCCTGCCTGTCCACAAATGTTTGAGCATGCAGCCCAGCTTGTTCGTTGGCTTCCCCGAAAGGAAGTCCAGTGGTGCGGACAGCGAAGATGACGAGCACGATCCTCTATGGATAGTCCGGCGCGTCAAATCCGTGGAACAGGACTCAGATACGAGTACAGCCATGTACTTTACGGATGCGGTGATTATCAAGGATGCTCTGCCGGCATCATCGTCCTCTGAATCATCGTCCAGCTAAAGCCATTTGTCGCTAAAGGGAAGAAAAGGCTTTAAATTATATTTTGGTTATTTTTGTTAAAATAAATTCAGTTTTTTGGTATAAAGTACCATGTTGTGGATATTACAATACACCCTCCATTGACAGCATCGCAGACGTGACAGCTTCGAGTTTTCGTTCTACCGATAGAGTTCTTTCAATCGAATCTATTTTCCAGGATCGCGGTTTTAAATCTCTCTGTCTCTCTCTGCCACTCGCATTCACCTGCAGTTTGCAACCATAAAATTCAATTATGTGTAGTTCATAACTTCACATTCATTCCTATTATATTTTATGCACTTTGACCTCTGCTCTGAGAGAGCTGCATATCTTTTCCCCCTCAACTGCGACTCGTATTGTTGCATAAATCAAGGCGAATTTCACGCATACAGTAAACAGTGCAAAGTGTGCGTAACGAGCGTTTCAATTTAAGAGCACGACTTTCGTTTTTCTTTTTTGTCTGCTATGAGTGTGGGGCACACGCAACAAATTCAATTTTTCATTTTGAGAGCAGTCAGATTGCCGGCACTCGGTCGCTCTGGGCGCTTTTCCAACAGTTTGGAAACACTAAAGTTGAATTACAATTGCAGTTTTTTTCTGCTCTCTCAGTTTTGCGTTTTGTTTGCTTCATTTTTGCCGTCGACTTGGTGTTAAGAGATTTTTATGTGCCTACGTATTTGAAATGCTAAAATGATGTATGGCACCCGGGCCAGACTAGAACTCTTTTCTGTTATTTTTTCTGGAAAGTACGGGCGGGCATGTGTGCGGAGGAATGGAGAGTGCTATAAAATGTCCATTAAGCTTTTCGAGGAAACCTGCTGAAATGCACTTTTCGCATTCTAAACTGCCAACAGGTTCACTTGACGATGGCTAAATGGAATGGAGTTGGTCTGAAGAGCTGCTCGCGGCCACTTGAACGTTTGCAGGGCGAGAGAAAGTAGACTTTATGGGGGCATGATGGAAGAAAGCTTCACTCAAAGCAATTGAGTAAATTCTGTACAGTTTCCCTTTTTCCGGAGAGGCAAATGTTTCCGTCACGCTTTGCTTTGCTCGCTGGCTAATAAAAATCTATTTATTTCGCTCTTGTAAATCACAATTATGCTGTCATCTATTAGTTATTAATATAGCTTCTCCCTGGTCATTTATCACACATATACACTGGTACTATATACACGCATATTCTTCTCGAAGATTAATGATTGGAAAAGTATCCCCATAATCAAGTGATTTAGGTCTGTTTCTTTTCTTCTTTTCTTCCACATCTACTTCAGCTCTGTGAGTGGGCGTTATCCCTCATACTCTTATGATTGGGGTAGTAGGAGGCTTAGGGGAGTGACCTCAAGCAGACACAAAAACATCTTGATTTGTCAATATTTTATTTATTGCCCATTGTGTGTAATTAGAGCAGGCGTTCTATCGTTGATCCATGTTGTCCTCGATTCGGTCTGGGATTATTTTGTGGCCAGTGGCCATTTGTTGTGTGTGTGCGCCTCGGGTAAAGTTAATTTGGGTAACAGTCTTTGTTTTGTTTTGTTTTGTGGCGGAGATATGAATGTTTTGTTTGAATCTTTATGTTGAATATTATCAGGTACTGTTCGAAATGGTTCGGAGTGCCACGAATTCGATAGGACATTGCCAAAAGGCAACCTGAGAGTAATCAGATTTGTCTGCCTATTCATTAAAGGATAATATGTAGACTCAACCATTTTACATAAAGTCAAGCGTCAATACACTTTTTCCTGTATCCCTTGTTCTTTGTATCCCACAACTAAAACCTCCCTTTGTAGTTTCCTATCTGTTTGTGGTGCTATATTTGATAAATTTGGCTCTTAGATTTTTCTTGCTCTTAAGTCGCCTTCTGATACCTGTGCTCAGTTAAGAATCGCATCAATTAACCATTTCTTTTAACAACCATCGTCTGCGAGTGTTAAATAAAACAAAAAGCCAAAGAAAAGCACTATCTAGTGAGTCGTTTGTGGGAGAGCAACCTTTGACCAGGCAACCAAACAATATCCAGACGCGTTCAGCTAGATGACCCCAGTGGTAATAAAACGCATACTTTTTGCAACATTTGCCGGGACCGGCGATAGCATTCCCCCACCGCACGGGCTGCAGACCGGACCCCATTGTGGACCATTGAAACAATCGTGGCGCTTCAAAAGGACATTCGCTGCAAGTGTCGTGCGCTTTATCCTGGCCTGGACAATGTCTCCCCCTGCTCCGGCCAGCCACCCTGCGCATAGTGGACGCATTTTATTGTTTTATTTTGAATATCCTTTGACTGTGCTCGTTTCATTTTCCTTCTCCCCGAATGTCCGAGTATCTGGCATTGTTTTCTGGCCTGATTGTTTGCGGTCTGGGCTTAGCCTAACTTTGGGTCTTGTATCCAAAGTGTTATGCATAAATGTCTATAATTTAAACACGAGCATTATGCCTGCCTGGGTAATTCCGACTCTTCTCCCCAGCGGGAGAGAGCTTCAATTCAATTGCGGGGATAACGTCACAGAGAGACAGTGAGACAATTGCATTTCTGTGGCAATCCCAAGTGTGTGGGCCCAGACTGCGTCGCTCTACTTCGTCTGCCTTGTAATGCTAGCCAACAAATTGACTTGGCTATAAATTATACGACACTACTCAGTGGCGTAGGAAGCCAAAAGGGTTAACTCTAAGGCTTGCTCGTTTCAGCAAGGAATTTATTCAATTACTAAAATGGTTCTGCGATTTGCCGAATCACCGAATTTATATTTCTTTGTATTCTTATTGATCCCTGAAGTAATTCCATACGATAATCAGGGCTTTATTTCGAGTATTTTCGAGGCAAGAGCCCCTTTTGAAATGTATTTTCGGCCCCTCTGACTTCAGCTCTGTTTCTATTTCTATATAGTGAGTGAATGGCCAAATATTTGAGTCTTGGTATGTGTGCAACAGTTGCACTTTCCCCATGGCTGACACATACATGGAGACTAATTTGGAAAATCAGAATTGTCATATCAACAGATGGAACCCAGCAGGTGCAGAGCACAAAGTGCAGACGAGATTGCTCCAGCTGCTCCCTGCTCATGGCGCCTTACGTTAATTGCATTGAATGGGGACAGGTTGAACGCCTTCGCTTCGGACTTTCCCCATTCCCACAAACCCCACTGCTATCGGTGGTGTAGGACCCTTGACTGAACTGTCTAATATGCTAATTACACTGCAGGCAACAATGCTGAGGGGGCTTTGGCTTCGGCTTCGGCTCCATGGGACCATGGTTTTCCTCCTCTCTGCCCCATCTCCAGAAGTGTACTCGTATGTGTGGGACTGCAATGCGTTTGGGTCGTTCATTTTTGCAGGGGATTTGTGCAGATTGAGCGACATACTCGTACTTGTATAGGTTCGGTCTGCTGCCCTCTTGGCGCCTCCCTTGGTCTGTCTCCTCTGTCTGGGTCTAAGCCGCTTTAGTGAAGTGCCATTTATACGAGTTCAAGTGTGTGTGGGACTCTATCTCCCGCTGTTGCCCCTCCCTCGCACCGCGTCTGTCTAATTAATTATACTTTTCAATTGTATCGCAAACAATGAGAATGACATTTGCCTCGAACTCTGCCTCTCCCCGTTCTGGCTTTCTGCTTCTGCCCTTCTTCCCTGCTGGCGATTGCCACGTCGTGCCATCCTTCTGTCGCGCTTACCCATTTCAGTTAGCCGGTTTCGGAACTCTTATCTATGTGGCATACTTTTTGGCGCTTCTGCCTTTCGACACTGCAGCCGAAACTTTCCACCGACCTCAAGTGTGTGTGTGTGGGTGTGTTTAAGAGCGGCGGAAGATGGAGGGAAATTTGCATACGCCGCAGATAAATGTTTGTCAGAGTCGCTTATCGCAATTTTCCTTTCCTTCACTGCCACAAGGGAGGAAAAGCAAAGTCTCATTGTGAAATTAGTTAAAGTTTATTTTCGTATAGATTAAACACATTAAGTATATAAGAGTTTGTATAGATTGGTTAGCTTTTTATTTTGGTGCATTCATAAGGGGATCTAAGAGCGGAAATCTATATGTCCAACTAGCAACTAACCAACTAAGCCGCTCCCTGCGACCATCAATGTCCTCAATCACTCGGAAATTCACTAAATTATTGTCAATACTCCATTATTCCATTATTTACAGAATTTCTAACCCAAAAGCCAGTCCACATGCGCAACTAACTGTTAGGTGTTCATATTTAGTGTCCATTTAAGTACAATAAACAAATATTCACTGCATCGGGTATTTACCGCACATCTAAATTAGAGATCCCTCCCCCAATCAGCCATTGACGGGCACTTGATTCCCGCTTGCGTCCCCTGGCTTCCCCCCTCGTCTGATGTAACCGATTGCGGTCAATTGTTTGTTATTCGGCAAATATAGGCTTATGCCCAGCATCGGTATGATAAATGCAAATTTGATATGCAATACCGCAGCTGTCAATGATGGAATAATATTTTCAATCATTTTTAAATGCGGCCCCAGGCAAAATATATTAATCGATAAGCCCGACAATGGGCTGAGCTATTTCACGATAGCTGAAAAACCAAATGAATGCAAACTAAATTATACCATTATATACATACATACTCGTACATACATATGTATTTGAACAACAATAATAGTTTTTATTGTATTTTTTTGTAGTAAAGGTTTATTAATGGTAAACATTTTCAGTGGATTCAGTTGTCGGCTAATATGTTTATGTTTATATTTTTAATAAGAATTTATAATCTAATCTATCTTATCTTTATTGTCTATTTTGGTATTCATTCATTCGATGATGCTTAACAGATATTATGTTGGGAAACGAGCTTAAGCTTAACTGTCGACTAGTATTGGCATCAAATGAAAATGCTCAGTCCGCAGTTGCAATCCGCAAAATTTGTATTTAAACAAAAGGACATTTTTTAGTTTATGTCGTCATATCAATCAGGAAATATATATATATATATGTATTTATAGACTGAACGAAAGGGTCAGCGGGTTTTTTTGTACTCATATTAAATGTAGAAAATTATTGAAAAACATTTTGATACCCTCTGTAACTACACATATTTTATTATTC